TTGCTGCACATGGAGTGGAGTCACTTGTGATGAAGTCACAGGTCATGTCATTAGGCTTCAACTTGGATGCAGCGGGCTTCAAGGCATTATCCACTCCAACAACAGTTTGTTCCTTCTCACTCATCTTCAAACTCTTATTCTCTCCGGGAATATTTATTTTAGTGGCCAAGTCCCTCTAGAATTCTCTTACTTGTCTCATTTGATTACACTTGATCTTAGTTCTTTGTTCAATGATTTGAGACTAGAGAATTTTAGTTTGAAACGAATTGTTGCAAACTTAACAAGTTTGAGAGAGTTGTCGTTGAGTGGTGTCAATATGTCTTCTGTCTCTCATAATTCCTTTATGAATTTATCGGAGACATTGATATCTCTTGATTTGAGTCATACTCAAATGAAAGGGGAATGTCCAGAAAATATTTTTCTTTTGCCAAACCTTCAAGAGCTCAAACTATCGGACAACCATAATCTCACCGGTTCATTTCCTAGATATAATTGGACCACCCCGCTTAGAAATTTGAGCCTTTCTTCCACTAGATTCCTAATAGATTTACCATATCTTACTAGGAGTTTAAAATATTTGAATCATTTGGATGCCAGGAATTGCAATTTCAGTGGACCGTTTCCTGCATTAATGCTTGGTAACATAACTCAAATCACTTCCTTAGATCTCTCTTCTAACAATTTTGGTGGTCAAATCCCATGGGATTCTTTCAATCTGGAGAAGCTGAATTTTCTAGATCTTTCATACAATAATTTTGAAGGCCAGCTCCCTCAAATTTGTGGTAATTCTACAAAGAAAATATTTCTTTGTGACTCTTCAGAAAGTGATAAATTAGTGGGCCTTCTTCCTTTGAATTTGAAATCCTTGGACTTATCTGGGAACTTACTTAGTGGAACAATACCTTCTTGGCTATATTCCCTTCCGTCTTTACAAGATTTATATCTACATCAGAATCAATTCACTGGTCATATTAGTGAATTCCAGTACAATTCTTTAGTAACTCTTGATTTAAGGTCAAACAAACTAGAGGGCCTTATTCCAAGATCAATTTTTCAGCAAGTGAACCTTCATAGGTTACATCTTTCATCAAATAACTTGAGTGGTGTCATTCACTTAGAACAGTTCTCAAGGCTAAAAAAACTCAAAAGACTTTCTCTTTCTTTTAATAGCCTATCAGTGGATTCTATCAACTCCATCACATACGTTTTGCCCAATACCCTTTGGTTATTGGAATTGTCTTCATGCAATATCACTGGGTTCCCACATTCTTTAAGAAGCTTGGAAAATTTAGAATACTTGGACCTTTCCAACAACAGAATTGATGGGAGTGTTCCCCAATGGTTGTGGAACGTTGGGAAGGATTCATTGTATTATCTCAATATTTCTCACAACCTCTTAACTCATATTGGGAAAATTCCATGGAAAAGTCTATCGTATATTGACCTTAGCTCCAACAGGCTTCAAGGTCATCTTCCAATTCCACCACCTTCAACTTCTCTGTTTTCAATCTCAAACAATCAATTGGTTGGAGAGATACCTTCTCTGTTTTGCAACCTTACTTGGATTGAAGTCCTTGATTTGTCACACAATAGTTTGACTGAGAAAATTCCGCCATGCTCTGAAAAATACAGTCACAACCTCTCAACAGTTACGATGGAAAACTACTTGTGGATGTTGAACCTTCATGGAAATCAATTGGAAGGGTCACTGCCACTTTGGTTGCTCCATTGTGAAAGGCTGGAAATTTTAGATGTCGGGAACAACAAGCTGAACGGATCCTTTCCTTATTGGTTGGAGTCTCTTCCCGAGCTGCAAGTTCTTGTCTTGAGGTCTAACAGATTCCATGGTCAAATAAGTAATCCAAAAGTGAGATTTCCCTTTCAAAAGTTGAAAATCATGGACCTCTCCAACAACGAACTTACGGGTCTTCTGCTGGAAAAATATTTTGACAATTTTATGGCCATGATGAATGCTCATACAGATGTTCTAGAATACATGGAAATGTACAACGCGCTAGCTGGATACTATTCTTATTCTGCGACAATGAATATCAAAGGAAACTCCATCGAGCTGCCAAAAGTCCAAACAATGCTCATATTAATTGATTTCTCAATGAATAACTTCACAGGAGAGATTCCAAAGGTGATTGGAAAGCTCAATTCACTCAAAGGACTCAATTTCTCCCACAACGAGCTCTCTGGTCTGATTCCTCCATCGTTGGAAAACTTGAGCAATCTCGAATGCTTAGACCTCTCCTCAAACAAGCTGTCCGGAAATATTCCATCGCGATTAGCAACAGATTTGAGTCAACTTGCAAACTTAAATCTTTCCGGCAACAGATTGGAGGGACCAATACCTCGCGGGAAGCAATTCAATACATTCAACATTGATTCATACAGTGGAAACCAGGGATTATGTGGATTCCCTCTGCCCAAATTATGCACCGATGATGAGCCAAAGCACAATCAAGGTTATGATGATGATGGAGATCACAACAAGGGAATGATTGATTGGAAAGTGGTGATGATGGGATATGGAAGTGGAATGGTAATCGGAATATCTATTGGATACATGGTGCTTTTCAGTAGAAGCTTCGATTATTGGTTTCTAAAAAAGTTTGGAGGAGGAGGACGTCGTAGAAGAAGAGCGAGCTCAAGAGGGAGGAGAAGATCAAACTAGCAAGCAGAGGAAAATGAAGTCTCATGGGAAGTCTGGAAATGTAAGTTCGTAATTTCTTTGTATTTTATCAGCTACATAATGTTTTTTTTTTTTTTTTTGTGTTTGACAATTTTTTGTTCTTGTATAGGAAAGAGCATGAGTGTTGATGATTGGATGCAACTGCTGCCGTGCCCTGGACTGAGGCGTAGCTCCGGCGACACCATTATCTGATATTCTAGTAGTTAAATTCTTGTTCCCTTAATCTATAGCCAGAGTGCATAATAAATAGTTTGTAATATATATGGAGTGTGCGTTCTGTAGTTTGTATTTTACGTGCCTGTTCATTGTAATTATCATTTCTGCTTTTGTCTAAGATGGTGGCTATTCTCATTATATTAGAAAACTGGAATTATGTTCCATTCATTATGTACTTTTTTTTACGTATAAAAAAAAACAAATAGAGTAATGCGACAAAATGTCCATTTTTGTTTCTTTTACATATATAAAGAATGCTTAATAGGCACAGGTATTCTCATTTTTAATTATCATAAAGAGAATTTGTTTTTTTAGGACATAATCGGAGAATTGTTTTTTTTTTCTTTTCCCCTCCCCTTTTTCAAGTTTTTCTTGTTCTTTTTTATTTTTTTCCTCTTTTTTTCAAATTGTGGATGGGAGATTTGAAGTCAAAACCAATAGAGTTGGGGTAAGAAATTACCTTGCTACCACTCCTTTCTCAAGTTTTTTCCTTTTTCAACTTGGGTAAGTCGTTCTGTGGTCGTTGTCCTTTTCGGACGGTAATTTGTTGGTACAACAATTCCTGCCTGCAAATTATCAATGACTGTGGAAAAAGAGTTTTTGAACTGAAGCAAAGCAGAGCTAATGTCTTCACGTTAATATCAATAAGCTTGAAAAATTTAAGAATCTTGGACCTTTCCAACAACAGAATTGATGGGAGTGTTCCCCAATGGTTGTGGAACGTTGGGAAGGATTCATTGATTCAATTGAATATTTCTCACAACCTCTTAACTCATATTGGGAAAATTCCATGGAAAAGTCTGTCGTATATTGACCTTAGCTCCAACAGGCTTCAAGGTCATCTTCCAATTCCACCACCTTCAACTTCTCTATTTTCAATCTCAAACAATCAATTGGTTGGAGAGATATCTTCTTTGTTTTGCAACCTTACTGGGATTGTAGTCCTTGATTTGTCAAACAACAACTTGAGTGGGAACATCCCACCATGCTTTGGAAATTTTAGCAAAATCTCTGTTTTAGATTTGCGAATGAATAAGTTTCGTGGAATGATTCCTCCAACATTTGCGAAAGGAATCTGGTTGAGGAATCTTAACCTCCATGGAAATCAATTGGAAGGGCCATTGCCTCAATCTTTAGTCAATTGTGAATTGCTGGAATTTTTGGATGTTGGGAACAGCAAGCTGAACGGGTCCTTTCCCCATTGGTTGGAATCTCTTCCAGAGCTTCAAGTTCTTATTTTGAGATCTAACAGACTTTCTGGTCCTCTAAGTAATCCCAAGGTGAGATTTTCCTTTCAAAAGTTGAGAATCATGGACATCTCTAACAATAATTTCACTGGTACTTTGCCAACAAAATATTTTGAGAACTTCGTAGCCATGATTGATGCTCATTCAGAACGCTTAGAATACATGGGCCCTATTATTCTGTGACAGTGGTTATAAAAGGATTCGAAACTGAGCTCGTGAAAATACAAAAACTGTTCATAACCATTGATTTCTCAAGTAATAGCTTCACAGGAGGGATTCCAACAGTGATCGGGAAGCTGAATTCACTCAAAGGCCTTAATTTTTCTCACAACAAGCTATCCGGTGTAATTCCATCATCCTTGGGAAACTTGAGCAACCTTGAATGGTTAGACCTCTCATCAAACGAGCTTTTTGGAAACATCCCATTGCAACTAGCTGCAGATTTGTATCAACTTGAAAGATTAAATCTTTCCGACAACAAATTAGAGGGACCAATACCTCGCGGAAGGCAATTCAATACGTTCAGCAATGATTCTGTGACGACCCTCCTATGAGGCCGCCACTGTAACTTAAACTTTAACTTGTACTTACTGGGGTTTCTTAAAATTTGCGGAACATTTTTTTTTTAATATAAGAAAGAATACTTTCATAATTTGTAACAATAATTTCAAATAAGTGAATCACTAAATTTCTTAAAGCTTTTCTTAATTTCAGTTAAGATAAAACGTTCTAAAAATATCTTTCAAACAGAGCAGCATTTGAACTCTTATTTCAAATGCTCTTTAAAAGTCTTTCTAAAACTAGCCAATTCAATCGGGCCATTTAATTTTGACTTTAAAACGGATTTCGTGAGAAATCTTAAATTCAAGTACATCTTAAAGCCCTTTTAAAATCAATCATTTAAATCGTCATGTTTAAAATTTATTTATTTGTTGCATGCTCTGTTGCAACGTTCTAAAACTTAAATACTCAAAACGAGGGTTGTTAGCTACAACCTCGGTTTCTTTAACATACATATGTACCTATACTTTTTAAACATACATGCTTGAAACCTTTAAATCATATATACATATACATGATTTTTCTTAAACTTACTGCGGAAGATAACTGCGTGAGCGGTATCCATTCCCATCTCCACCATTCGTCCGCCGCTTGCCATTGCCCTTCAAGAATTGCTGATAGGTTTCTTACCTACAGCATGAACATATCTGATTGAGCTTTCGCTCAGCAAGTAGGAACTATATCTCACAAAATAACTGTAAGTACACATAAATAAATATGCATGAGCTGATTATGCTTAATTATGATGTCTTATCATAATCTTATTATCTTATCTTATCTTTCTTACTGATGGGCCCGAGTGCTCGCGTACCACTTGCGCGCAATCATCGGAACGTGAGGGTTTGCAAGGTCCCCCAC